TCCTTATTTACATCATAAAAAGGTTTTGTCGGTTCATTGGGGAAGCAGGTGTCTAAATTTCTTCCCCCAAATCCATTTTGGCCATACAGCCTTCACAGTGAGCCTGAGAAGTTTAGCAGTTTTCATCAGTACTGGACGTTTGAGATATTAGTCTTTTGTTAGGGAGCAAGCGTGAATGAAAAGCTATTCATTCTTAAACTTCGAATAGGCGCAGCCAGCCTATTCTGCCATTGAACTGTACCCAGCCTCATTCTACTTGGTCATTGATGTAATGAATTTGTTAAGTGATTCTTTTCACGATTAAATTATTTTGAAGCAGTTTGCTTTAGGCTTCATCAATGAAAACGGATACTTAAACATGTCCCGTCTGAAGGTCTTTCTGAAGCACGTGTCAGAGATAGAAAAGCAGATTTTCGAAGATGAACTGGCTGATCTTCGATGGCTTGGTTCAAAATCTTCCGGAACTGATGTAAGTGACTTTTTTCAGCGTAAATTGCAAGTATCTATAAATTTGTGACACACGCTGAATAGCTAGGGATGACCATACGATATGTTAACCTTTGTGTAACTGCGTTTGCATGTTATACTGCTAGATTGTAGTCAGGTCACTGACATGATTAAGGGTGAGACGCAGTTTATTTTATTGTTTTAGAAAAGTCATGGCGACAAGTGTCTAAGCGAAAAAACAGAAGCGAAATATACAAAGATAAGAGCATTTTCATCGAGCGAAAGCAGCCAGGCGTTATAAACAGTTCGCAGTGACATTTCGCTGCTTTTTTCTTTTACTCAACGCCCGTTTGTCACATCCATTCTGAGACGTCTGTTTTTTCGGTGGTGTTTTGCTTTTGCATTGGTTCCAACTCTGGAGGTACATAACTACTGGTTTCACAAAGACAATGTCTTAACGTACGACACCCTTAGCGCAAGCCATCTGGCAATTATTCACTATTTACTACTTTGAGAGATCAGGTTCAGCAGCATAAATATGCATACACAGCGTTGAAAGTAAGTTGAGCCCTATGTCAGTTGTATTTTGATCTTTGATGAAAAGTGTAACTGGTAGTTTCATATCACAATGATGGATATCAACTACAGCGTGTCTGATGATTCGTGCAGTGCTTTACGGATAATAAACTAATGGCAAATTGGCATTACAATTCTTTCCTTGTCAACGGATAAGGTAATAACCTGGTTCCAAGGGTCGGTAGGCAATCTTGTA